AGTGGCTGGTGGGTTTGAACCGCCAGCCGTCTGGTTAGCAGGCGAGTGTCTTAGCCACTATGCCACCAGAGCTCCCTTGTTTGGTAAAGGTGAAGACTAAAGCCAGATTGCAGGGCCTTAAGTCTGTTGCTTGCATAACAACCCTATAGGACCAAGTAGAACTTTCCCATAGGGTTTCCAAGGCTGTAATCTTTATGGAAGCAGCCTGCCATATCTTTCTCCTGCAGAGTGTCTAGTGGCAAACTGATGACCTTTTGGTTAGTAGCTGAGCATTTAACCACTGCACTGCCAGGGCTCCTTTGCAGGGGCTTAAGGGGTAGAAAAGACTGAGAATAGTAGCTTTCTATTTAAAAGTAAGGAGAAAAGAAAACTTCTGTTTATTTTATGCATGCAAGAATTTTGTAAATTTTGCAAAGATAGCTATAGGATAAGTTTTCAGTGTAGGGAGTTTCGAAATCCAAAAATGAAATAATTTCATTGCAATGATGCATTTGCGAAAAAAGTTTGCAAGGTAGTCAGGACCACAGAGTTGCACATTACAATGTGAATGGCTTTCCTGGAAGTGGACAGCCTAGCAGCCCTGAGTGGCTTTGCACTGTGTTTCTAGAAAATGAGCTCTCAATCTTAAAATCAATAGTAATGTTTCCAGGAATATCCAGATTTTGGACTTCCCTTAACATTTAGAATATCTACTAACTCTGGATCAGAATGGTTGTGCAACAGCAAGCAATCAGTTCTACATTGTGGCTGCCTCCCTATGATCAGCTGATGTGATCCAGTTTATGACTCTCCATCTCACTGCTTCATCCATTGATGTTACCTGCCTGCAGACATTTGTGGATACGAGTCCTATCCTGGACTATTAACTAGAGCTTGAAAATATGTTTGTTTCAATGAGGAAGAATAGTACTCATAGTTCTATTTTCCCTCTCATCTGATTTTTTTCCCCTGAATTTTATTTTGTTGTTGTTGTTGAGAATATACACACCAAAAATATACTAATTCAACATTTCTACATGTACAGATTAGTGACATTGATTCCAGTCTTTCACTTGTCCAACCATTCTCACTCTCCTTTTCTGAGTTGTTCCTCCCTCATAAACGTAAACTCATTCCCTTTAAGGCTCCTATCTAATCTTTAAAGTTGCTGTTGTCAATTTCATCCCATAAAGATAGTCCTTAAAAGTACATAATGCTCAAAGGTGACCTTTTTTTTACTAGTTAAGCTAAAGTACTGTTTGGTTTTTAAGATGATTCCAGGGATAGATCATCTCTGGGCACTAGTTTCAGAAGTTCATCTACCTTCCATGGCTCCAGAAAGTCTGGAGTTTTTATGTGCCATTGAGTCAGGAAGTCTAGAGTCCATGAAAATTTGAAATTCCATTCTGTGTTTTCCCTCTTTTGATCAGGATTCTTTTATGACACCATCCAGTTCTTCTGGTCTCATGGCAAAGGAGGCAGTTGTTCATGGAGGCAATTAACCACACATTCCATATGCTCTTCTCGTTCCTGACTCTCCTCCTTCCTCTGTTGCTCCAGGTTAATAGAAACTAATTGTGATGCCCTAGATGGCTGTTTGCAAGCTTTTAAGACCCCAGGCACTATGCCCTGAACTAGGAGGTAGAACATATTATTAGGCCAATTAATTGGAATGTTCCATGAAACCATGACCCTAAACCTCCAAACCGAGAAACCAAATCCCATGAGCTGTTTGACAGTACATAAGTAGCCTCAGCAGCTACTTTTTTTTCTTGCATTGTAAATATATCTTTTACACAACTTTTGCCAATACTACTTTTTAGAGGTGTACAGCTTGTTTACAACAATTACAATAATTGGCTGTGCAACTCTACCCTTAATTAATGTGATTTTTCCATCACTGTTAACCCCCCTCCTTCCTGGCCCCAGTGACCACTAATGAACTTTGGTCTCTATACGTTTGCCATTTATTGTATTTTTTACATAAGTGAGGTCATACAATACTTGTCCTTTTGTGATTGCCTTATTTCACTCAGCATAAAATCTTCAAGCTCCATCCATACTATAGCATATATCAAGACTTTATTTTTCCTACTGGCTGAGTAATATTCCATTGTATGTATGTACCACATTTTGTTTATTCATTAATTTGTTTATGGGCATTTACCATCTTTCCACCTTTTGGTGATTGTTAATAGTGCTGCAATGAGCAATAGTGTACAATCTCTTGTTATGTCTCTGATTTCAAGTCTTTCGGGTATATATCTAGGAGTGGAATTACTAGGTCGTATATTAGTTCTATTTGTTTTCCACAACTGTACCATTTTGCATTACCACCAATAATTAATAAAGGTTCCAACTTCCCCATATCCTTGCCAACATTTGTTATTTTTCCTTCCTTCCTTCCTTTTTTTCACATCTTAGCCATCCTAGTAGAAATGAAATGGCATCTCATTGTGATTTTGATTTGTATCTCTCTGGTGACTAATGATTCTGAACAACACTTCATGTATTTGGTGGCCATTTGAATGTCCTCTTTGGTGAAATGTCCTTTGCCCATTTTATGATTGGGTTGTTTTTCATGGTTAAGTTGTTGAAGTTTTATCTATATGCTGATTATTAGATTCTTGTCAGATATGGTTTCTGAAGATATTCTTCTAGTGGGTAGCTTGTTTTTTCACTTTTTTGGTAAAGTCTTTTGACCAAACATTTTTCATTTTTATGAGGTGCTATTTATTTTATCTATTGCTGTTTGTGTTTTTGTTATTATTTTACATGACCCATTGTTGAAAACTAGGCCTGACATGTGGCCCTTGCTTGTCCTTCTAAGAATTTTATGGTTTCAGTTTGCACACTTAGGTCCTTTACCCATTTTGAACTTGTTTTTGTGTATGGTATAAGGCATGAATACTGTTTCATTTTTCCACATGAGGAAATCCAGTTTTCCCAGTACCATTTATCAAAGAGATTCTTCTTTTCCTATTGAATGAACTTAGCACCATCGTCAAAAATCAGTTGACCACATTTGTGTAGGTTTATTTCTGGGCTTTCAATTCTATTACATTAGTCTGTGTGTCTATTGTTATATCAGTACCAGGCTGTTTTGGTTACTGTAGTTGTATAGTATGTTTAGAATCAGGATGTATGACTCCTCCTACTTTGTTCTCTTTCAACATTGTTTTAGCAATGCAAGGCCTCTTGCCATTTCATATAAGATTCAGGATTGGATTTGCTATTTCTGTAAAGAGTGCCGTTGGAATTTTGATTGGGATTACATTGAATCTATAGATTACTTTGGCTAGTATTGACATCTTAACTATATTAAGTCTTGTAATCCATGAACATGGAATATCGTTCCATTTCCTGAAGTCTTCTTTAATCTCTTTCAGCAGTGTTTTATAGTTTTTATTGTATAAACCCTTCACATCCCTGGTTAGATTTATTCCTAGGTATTTTATTCTTAGATACTATTATAAATGTTATTGTTTCCCTAATTTCCCTTTCAAATTTCTCATTGCTTGTATATAGAAAACCCAACTGATTGTTGTTTTTTAAACTTTATTGACAAAGTTATCCTGCAATTTTGCTAAATTCCTCTGTTAGATCTAGAATTTTTCTTGTGGACTCTTTGGGATTTTCTATATATAAGATCATATCATCCACAAATAGAGATAATTTTACTTCTTTTCTAATCTGGATATCTTTTATTTCTTTTTCTTGTCTTACTGCTCTGGCTAAGACTTGAATACAATATTGAATAGAAATGGTGAGAGTGGGCATCCTCGTCTTGTTCCCGACTTCAGGGTGAAAGCTCTCAGTCTTTCTCCATTAAGTATAATGTTGGCTATTGATTTATGCTTTTACATATTGAGGAATTTCCTTTATTTTCTAATCTTTTTTAGGGTTTTCATCAAGAAAAGATGTTGGATTTTATCAAATGTTTTTCTGCCTCCAAAGAAATGATCATATGGTTCTTTTCCTTTATTCTACTGATGCGGTGTATTATGTTGACTGATTTTCTAATGTTGAACCATCCCTGCATTCCTGAAATATTCCATTTGGTCATGGTGTATGACTCTTTTAATATGCTGTTATATTTTATTTTCTAGTTGTTTTTTTTTTTTTTTAAAGATTTATGCATCTATATTCATAGTTTCTTTTTTCATGATGTCTTTGTCTGGTTTGGGTACCTGAGTCATGCTTGCTTTATAGAATTAGGGACTATTCCTTCCTTCTCTATCTTTTAGAAGAGTTCAAATAGTATTGACATCAATTTTTCTCTAAATGTTTGATAGAATTACCCAGTGAAGTCATCTAGTCTAGGTCTTTTTATTTAGTTAGCTAGTTCCAAGGTTTTTGATTACTGTTTCAATCTCTTTATTTTTTATGGGTCTGTTGAGACTTTCTGTTTCTTCTTGAGTCAGTTTGGGTAGGTTGTGTCTTATCTAACTTATTATCAACATTGCTTGGCACTGCCATGGAAAACTCAGCAGAGATGACTTGCTAATTTTAGCTCCTACCTAGGCTTTTCCTGCTGTTTTGTTTCTCAATGTGAATAATCCATAAGGATTGAAATTCTTCCAAGTTGGTTAATACTTTACTGAACTGAGTGTTCTCTGTCCAGGCCTGGAAGTGTAGTTGTGGATTATGAAGTCACGGCTATACCACCATCACCTGAATCAATGCATAAAGCAAATGAACAAGTAATACAGAGCCTCAATCAAACCTACAAAATGGACGACAGTTCCTTTCAAGCAGTTACTAGTAGTAAGTGGAACTTCATTACATTTTTCCTGTACATATATTGTGTTTATTTTGTTCTTAGTTGCCAATAAGTTGGCTCCAATTCATGATGACCTTATATGCAACAGAATGAAATGATGCCTGGTCCTGTTCCATCTTCATGATCTTTGGTATGTTAGAGTCCATTGTTGCAGGCATTAGATTCTATTTTTATATTATAATGTTGTTGTTGTTGTTATTTGCCGTCGAGTATTTATCATGATGTTTAAACCTAGGGAGCTACATTAAGCTGTCCTTCACAAAGATAGAGTCTCCAGAGGATGACAATCTGTCTCCACCTCTTTGGCCAGTGTCTCCCAACCTAGCTGATATCACTGCTGGGGGCCACAGAACTATGTGGGTTTATGTATTTCCTAAATTAGAAGACACAAAATATCCAAAAAAAAAAAAAGTCAAACTAGCATTGTGGAGGGTGTTGTGATATCCATGAAATATAATATTAGATAGAAGGTCATTGTTGCTTTAGAGCAGTGGTTCTCAAAGTGTGATACCCAGACCAGAATCATCAGCACCACCTCAGGGCTTGATAGAACTATAAATTCTTGGCTCATCCCAGACCTGTAAGGAAAATTTGTGTTTTAACAAGCCTTCTAGGTGATTCTAATGCACAGGAAAATTTGAGGGCCACTACTTTGGTTTTCAACAGTGCTAAAGAGGCAAACCCTGGGGTCATTTGTAAAATGGGGTACAGAGTTGGATTCTGTTGTGTTAGTAGGTGAGTGAACCTATTACTACCTGGGAGATAATAAAGAGAGGCGGCCACACAGAGATTTGGCATGTAAGGTTTAGAAAACCAGTGTTCTGGAAAACTCGGGTCTGTGGTTCTGGAGTGAAAGAGACTCCACTTTGGAAGCAATGAGGTCTACTGTGGGAGAAGAAACTGAAAGGGTTGCTACAGAGGCTTATACTTTCTGCCAGTATTTTTAGACTTCAGGTCAACTTTAAAAAATATATTAAAAGTGATAGAAGTGGCTAAAAAGTCATGAGAGACATACAAAATGGTAAGAAAGTGATACAACATAAACAAGATAAAATAGCAAAATGAAAATTCAGATTTGGCAGGAACAAAATAATGGGACCAGAAAACTAAAAGAAGTAGAATAAGTGTCTTAAAAGTGGAGATTCAGAAAGAAGCAATCCGAGTAATTCTTCCTCTTCTTAACCCCTGATGCTACCCCATCAACCAATAGAGGTACTTTCTTTGCCCTGAAAAAAATTCATTTTATTTGTGACTTTTAGGGCATAAGAGAATAGCAGACTCTAGCATAGTTAAAATTCTGTTGTGATTGCTCTTTCCTAAAAGTTTCAGTCTTGCTAAGGATAGCCAAGCATTTAACTGAATAAGTATCCATTAGTTTCACTATCCAGTGGCCTGTTGTCAGTCTGGAAACATCCTTGCTGACAATACAGGTTGCAAAATTGCTTGAATATCTGTGACTCATTTGTCCAAAGGCAATGAAGTCATTGGGAAAAGCACTCAACACATCCTTCTGCAGAGGATCTACATCCATCTCTGTCTTCCTTCAAATACCAGAATGTGATTCATAACATAAACAGCCTCAGCCCAATAGACATGGACTCATATCATATGCAGTTCCAGGGTAGACTTGAACTTCCAACCTTTGTTTTAGCAGTCAGGCATAGTAACTGTTCTCATCATTCAGGGACTCTTGTCTTCAGAATAATTGCATTAATTTTGCAAAACATTAATCCTCTGGTGATGTTTGAATAATCAGCAGGTGCTTTAACCAGAACACTCCCTTCGTTGGTCACTCCCAATAAATTTATATTCAATCCCATATAACACTGACAGGTTTACTAATTATGGTTATTAGTAACTATAGTAATGAAAACAGTGACACCATTACTGAATCTTTTCCATGCTCAGCCCAGTGTGTTACATTTAATTAATCCTCATATATCCGGTGACATAGGTACTGTTATCTGTATTTTACAGATGAGGAAAATGAGGCTTAGAGAGGGTAAATAATATCTTCAAATGTACATAGTAACACAAGGTTGTGTGACATCAAAACCAGTTCATTACATTAAATATTCAAAGAGGGCCTTATTTCCTAAGAGTTGAATGCCATTTTTTAAAATATTATGTTAATGAGGGGCCTAGGAAAAGTAATAAGAAATATTTAAATGATGTATTTTGCCTTGAGCATTATGCCACCTCAATTTCATTTTATGGTGTTTTAATTCCCATGTTTATAATATAAGGGTGGCCTGCCCAAGAATAAATCCCAATATAAAAGAGGCCACATACATACATCCTCTTTATCTCAGCTCCTCTGATTTCTTTAATATACATGACTCATGAAACACATAGTACAAGGAACACAGCTGAGAAGGAAAAACTGCATGTCAGGTAAGCAAAGGGAACCCATAAAACATATTTAAAAAAAGAACCAATATTGTGTCTATATTTCTATCTGTGTAGGACAATCTGCGTAGTGGTTCCCCAGAATGTTGGTGTCAAAATAATAGCAATAGCTATTGTTCCCCCAAATCACCTCCCAAGGTAGCACTCACTGCCCATATTTCACAGATGAGGGAACTGAAGTTCAGCAAGTTCCCCAGAGCCACAGATGTGGCACAGACCAAGGATTCAAATCCAAATCTGTCTGTGAAGCTCCCATTCTTAAAGGCACATGGGTATTAGGTTTTTCTAAAAACTTATCTCCTGTGCAGACTTTATTATCAATAATTAATTCATTTTTCAATTTCTAATTCATCAAAGATACAGTGAGACCCTTCAGGTAGCATGAGGTATCATTGTGATTGGTTAGTAGCAAGTGATATTATTACAGTCAATGGCAAAGAATCTTAACATTCAAGTAAGCTTGTGTGGCTTTTTCATGAGTAAATTACACTGTCTACCAGGACTTTTTAAAGCCTGAAAACATCTTTTTATTATTGTTATTAGTTGCCATTGAGTTGATTCCTACTCATGGCCACCCTCTACGTGCAAAGTAGAACAACATAGGGTTTTCAAGACTGACTTTTTGGAAGCAGATTGCCAGGTTTGTCTTCCAAGGTACCTCTGGGTGGATTTGAACTGCCAACCTTTAGGTTAATAGTCCAGTGCTTAAACATTTTTGCCACCCAGAGACTCCTTGAAAATGGCTTAAGCATCCCTTAGTGATTCCCTTCACTACAATTGCAGACTGATAAAATAATAACAAGTCTCCAAACTGGTAACTATGTCCCTTACATGTGTCAGCTGGCAGCTAGTTGGGCCTCAGACACCTCTAGTTTTTCCTGCAAAAGTGAGGAGGATAGTTACTTTATTATATGCAGTACCACAGATGCTGTGGAGTGCTTGGTAGAATGCTGCTGTTGGTGGTGCTGGTAGTGGTGGTTGTGGTGACTGACAGTGATAACATTTCTTTGCTTTGGGATCCTAACACCTTTTCTTCGGGTTTCCAGATGAAACTAAATTTTCTGTCATACCAGAAGTCATCTTTGAAGGGGATACAGTAACTCTCATGTGTGAAAACGAAGTCTTGTCTTCCAACGTGTCTTGGTATCATGTTGAAAGGCGCACTGACATCCAGAACAGCAGCAGATTCTCTGTTTACACCTCTGTGCTCAACAACATGACTTCAATATCGCGTCTCACCATTTATAATGCCACACAGAAGAATGCAGGTGGGTGTATGTCCAATAACGTGTGCAATAAAAAGAATAAAGCCATCTATTTTAGTTTCCAAGGGCTGCCATAACAAAATACCATGAAGTCTTGGCTTTAAAGAGCAGAAGTTTTTCTTCACACTGTTCAGAGACTAGAAGTCTGAATTAAGGATATGTCTGCTCTAGGGGAAGGTCTCCTTTGTCTCTTTCAGCTTTTAGTGGCTACTGGTAATCCTTGGTGTTCCCAAGCTTGTAGATGCATCTGTCTCCATTGTGCCATGGTGCCTGTCTTCCTTGTCTGAGTGTGTGTGTGTCCTTTCATCTATTATGTTCTTTTTATAAGACAACAACTCAGAAGTGATGAGGTTTAGGACCCACCTCCTCCAATATAACCACATTAACAAGAAAACCACCTGATTTCAAATAGCATCATATTTACAGACAAAGGGGTTAGGATTTCTACATAATTTTTGTACAGCGATTTTAGGTTTACAGAAAAATTACATAATGGAGTTCCCATATACCCCTTGCTCTCTTTGCAGTTTCCCATATCTTACATTAGTGTGGTACATTTGTTATCATTGATGAGCCAATATTGAAACACTATTTTTAACCCAAGTCCATAGTTTACATTACAGTCTGCTCTTTGTGTTGCAGAGTTCTATGATTTTTGATGCATGCACAATGTCATGTATCCTCCATTGCAGTATCATGAATAGCCTGACTGCTTTCATGTATGTAGTTTTTTTCCTCTTCAAAAAAAAGGGACCTGGCTCAATTTTTCAAAAATGAAAATCAATCCTGTGATATATGAGCCAAGCAAAATTACCTTTGGAACACAAATAGTTTTCCACATATAGTAAGCCTTACAAGTTAGAACTGGAGACAAAAAGCAGACTTTTTTTTTTTTTTTTTTTAATTATAAACAGCTTTGTTGAAATGTAACTAAGATACAATAAACTGTACTTATTTAGAGTGTGTAAGTAAATAAGTTTAAAATATGTATATACCTATAAAGCCATCACCACAATCAAGATAGTGAACATAACCATATCTCAAAATATTTTCTTATACCCCTTTGTAATCCCTCCCTCCTGCCTCCCCCTGGCCTTGCCCCCAACCCAAACAACCACAGAATCCTAAGTCTTAATTCTTCTCTGAGACTGGTCATGAACCTGACTTTCTAGAATGTAATCACCTCATTGTAATGCAGAGGTCAACAGAGGAATCTCTCTGAGCACGAGAAGGTGGACAATAAACGTTTAGTTCTCTCACATCTTTGTAGATTCTAATTTTGCCACAAAATTACATGTTATTGTTATGTGCTGTCAAGTCAAGTTGACCCTGACTCATAGCAACCCCTCCTTGAGTTTCTGAGGTGATATCACTATAGAAGTAGATTGCCCAACCTTCCTTCCGAGGAGTGGCTGGTGGGTTTGACCACTGGCCTTCTGGTTAGCAGTCAAGTACCTTAGACACTATGCTACCAGAATTACATAGGATCCACAATCTTCTAATTCTCCAATTTTTCCTTCCTACTTCTTTCATTCTTGCCCTGTTTTTCTTCCTAGAAAATCTTCTGAGACTTCTGTTTTTTCCTTTAAGAAAGTCTCTACTCTTTACGTTGTGGCATCTGAAATATCTACTTTGACTCTCTGCACTTCCTGAGTGTTGCTTTAGTGTTGTTTAGACCACATGTGAGATGCATTTGAAAATCATACTTGATGAAGTAGTCATGATACATGAAATGAGGCTATCATTTGTTTAAATGAATACATATAAGTAGTAGTAATACTTGATTTTGTGTGTTCTATGCAGGTGAATATGTTTGCAAACTGACATTAGATATTTTTGAATATGAGTCCAGGAAAAAAATAGATGTTACTCCCATCAGAATTTCAGCAAATAAAGAAATGAAGGTGATGTGTGACAATAATCCTGTATCATTGAAATGCTGCAGTGAGAAGAAAGCTAATTGGAGTAACATAGAATGGGAGCAAGAGGGAAAAATCAACATTCCAGGTGAGAATGTTAGATGATGAACCCTTTGGAAACTGATTTTTGTCTCTTGGCCAACTGAAAATGGGATATGGGGTGGGTGAAGAAGAAAATTTCAGGTGACTTTTTTTTTCTGGACTTCATTCAGACTATGAAAAAGCACTAGGTTTATGACAGCTCCAGTTTAGCCACTCTAGAGTGAAAATCCAGAAGCACACGAATACAAGTGTTACTGCTTGGGTTGTAGACAGAGTCTTTGCATCAGAAGAGCCCAGAAGGAGTGATCCTGATGGCCTCGCCCCATACTATCTCCTGCCTACAGAAAAGCTTGTCCTTGCATTTCTTTACTTTCTGTCTTCAGCAAAGACCTAACACTGAGGTCACTGACTTTGCACTGAGGTCTGACATGGAGTCTTTGTGACTGTCCTTCTCACTTCTCTTCCTCTGTGTCCAGGATTACGTTTATATTATCTCTCTGTCTCCCTCTTTCTCTGTAGCATCTCTCTTTCTCTCTCTTTCTCTCTCTCTAGACTTGTTTGCTCTCAATCTTTCATGTCGGTTCCTGATCTTGTTGCTTTTGTTTTAGATCTGAAGTCTTATCTGAACTTTTCCAGCCTACAGTTTATTAATGAATGATAATAACCCTGGTGGTGTAATGATTAAGTATTCAGTTGCTTCTTAAAAGGTTGGTGGTTCAAACCCACCCATCCATAGACTCTAAGGAAGAAAAGACTTGATAATCTGCTCCCATAAAGATTACAGGCTATGAAATCCTATGGCGCAGTTCTACTGTGTCCTGTAGGATTGCATATGAGTCAGGACTGACTTGATAATAACAGCAATCATAACAGCAATGATAATAATGGAGTCCCTCTGATAGCATAGTGCCTAAGGCATTTGACTGCTAACCAGAAGGCTGGCAGTTCAGACCTACCAGCCACTCCTCAGAAGGAAGATTGGGCAGTCTACTTCCATAGAGATACTGTCTCAGAAACCCAAGGAGGGGTCGCTATGAGTCACAGTTGACTCAAAGGCAGTGAGTACGGTGGGGTTTTTTGGGGGGAGGGTGCAACTGGTTAACATTCTAGACTGCTAGCCAAAAGTTGGAGATTGGTGTCCATGCAGAGGCACCTCAGAACAAAGAATTTATGATCTACTTCCACAAAAAATCAGCCATTGAAAACTCTATGGAGCAGAGTTCTACCATGGCACATATAGGGTGGCAATGAGTCAGAGTCAATTAATTCAATGACAATTAGTGGCTCTGTATTTGGACAAACTGAAGCCAATCTGTTTCTAATCTTGAAACAACAATTCCTAAAGTCATCAGGCCATTCTGCACTTGGGCCTAAAGAATTATCTGAAGGCTTCATGGGCTTGCTTTGATTTGGACCATCCATAGAAGTGGTCACAGGAACACAATAGTTACGCCCTTGGCTGAAAACTGAAAAGTTCATGGTTCAAACCTACCAGAGGCTTAACAGGAGAAAAGACCTGGTGGTCTTCTCCCATAAGGATTTCTGCCCAGAAAACCCTGTGGGGCAGCTCTACTCTTATAGGGTCACTATGAGTCATAAGCAACTTGATGGCACACATCAACACAATTCATAGATTGCTGGAAGCAGGATCAGCTACCTTATATATGGAGCTTAGTGCAAAATGAAAGTTCAGGGCTCTTTGTTAAGAAATTATCAAGAATTTCAAAATGGCAACAGCTGAGCATGAAACAAAATGTGGGCCCTTCTGAATTATGAATCACATGCCCATGAAGCTAGCCCTGGGTGGAAGGAATATTGGAAGAGGGTGGAAACTGTGAAGTACTTGAATTTTTAACAAGCTGAGTTATGAAGAATGCTGTCCTAGCTCCATTTTTTTGTGGGTAACAGCCAGCCCTTGCACAGCAGTGTACTCAGAAGCTAGTCCCAAGGGCAGAAATGCTGGGTTGTGGGTGTGAACAGACACAGACCATATATCACTGAGTAACAGCACACCAGTGGTCACCTTGCCAACTGTTTGGCTTGCCTCCAATTCATTCTCCTTCAGCAGCCAGTGTAATTTCTTGACTTGACAGTAACTGGTTAATGATAACAATAACCAAAAAAAAAAAAAAAAAACCCACTGCCATCGAGTCAATTCTGACTCATAGCAACCTACAGGACAGAGTAGAACTCCTCACAGGTTTTCAAGTCTATAAATCCTTATAGAAGTACATTGCCTTATCATTCTCCTGCAGAGCAGCTTATGGGTTCATACAACCAGCCTTTTGGTTAGCAGCCCAATGCTTTAACTACCTCACCACCAGAGCTCCTGATAATAACAATAATAAATCAATACAGCAATACTAACCCTGTTACATATAGAAGTTTGTGGTTAACCAACTTTTAAGAACTATGTTCTCTCTTTTACTCAAATTTAAACTTGACCACAACTCAGTGAAGCTGGTATTTTCATCTCCAAATTTCCAAATGAGGACATCATGGCCAAGATTAAATTACTTATCCAAGGTTCTTATAATAGGAAGATAAAAGAGACTTAACCTCAGATCTTGCTTCAAGACCACTGTCGGTCTTACCAAACTATATTACCATTAATAGCAAACACCAGGCTACAGAAAAACACCTGAGAGGATCAGATGGGGGTCAGTGAACAGGAATATACTCTAGACCATGAATAGATTCAGCTGAGGCTAATCTTGCACAGATGCCAGTAATATAAAATACCTGCATTCCTTACAGAAAGAATAGAAGACAGACACAAAGTAATCCCTCACAGACAACCAGACACTATGGGAGAGAGATCCAATAGATCTACCATCTCAGGACCGTAGTACTGGGGGACACCAGACTCAATTGGCACAACAAAATATATAAAAGCCTTGCTCTGCATCCAACATTGGTGACTAGCACCTGGGGTCTTAAAAGCTTTCAAGTGGTCATCTAAGATGCAGCTAATGGTCTCCTAGTGTCAGAAGCGAAGAAGAATGCAAAGAAAAAAAAAGGGGGCACTTGGAAGCAATCAGCCATAGGACATGATGACCCTCAAGACCAGAAGAACTAGATGGTGCCTGGCTACCAATGCCAACCATTCAAGAAAGGATCAAATCTGGAGATCCTGGATAGAGCGGGAGGGAAAACATGGAAAAAAAAATCCAAAAACTCAATAATGACCAGAATTACTGGTCAGATGAAATTTGATGAGACCCCCCCAATACTATGGCCCTGGAATACATTCTGTGCCTGGAAAAAAACGCATCCCCAAGGGCTGGCTCTCAGCCCAATAGTTAACAAGATATACATGCAGACCACTCAACCCAGGATGATGCACCCACATACCCTATTGAACACATACCCCGTTGAATACATCCCTTAGAGCAATAGACCATGGGACACCAGAAGACTAACTTTTAAACTGAGGAAATGCAGGACAAACAGAAGTACATAAATATGAGGGGCACAAGGGGAGGGTTACAGGGTAGGGAGGGGAGGATACTAGGTTAGGGTTGGACATGGTAAATGGGGAGTGAAACTAAATGTATACATAATGTTAAATGTAAAACAAGCTCTTAAAATTTAAAAAAAAAAAAAAAAAAATAATACCAGGCTATTACCAACGATTGGTGATCCTGTACTGGGGCAAGCTAGACTGGCAGAGTTTGGACCAAAGCAGAAGACTGTTTCTTCCTAGAAATCACATGTAACAAGGCTCAGCCTTTCTCATAAAAACAACAGTATTATATGTACATCTTTAAAGTTAAAATATCCTTTAAAGTAAAATATGACTTTACATATTCAATACATTAGCAGACCAAGCTGTTACTTTACAAAAGCTTTGCTATCAGACTATATTAAATTTTTTAAATAATAAAATAATTATCAATTGATATGCAACTTTTCCTGAGCACGTCTGTTTTGTGAAGCATGTTTCACTTGCACCATTTATATTTGACTTTAAAGCACTCAGAATGGGAAAGACATCTGGTGATTGTTGAAAGGTTGACACACAGTACATTTAGTCACTTCCTTGATTTTTAAGGAAGAGGAGGTGCAGGCATCCTGAAGGAACTGCCAGATAGGGGAAAGACTTTGTAAAGTTCTGTGATACTGACTTTTAAGCCTTCAGTTCCGAGAGGTGAAAATTCTCACCCTTTGGCAAAGGAACCTGGAAGTCTGAGGTGCAGATGCTCAGGGACCTCTGGGGTCATCCTTTCTGCAGACATTTCCAGTGCACACTGTGGGCTGAAGTAACTGAAAAACAATGGGCTTCTGTCACAGGGCAGCTGCCCTGGGATCTTCACAGGCAGGTCTCTGATGAATTTACCCTCTGGTCTTAGCATCTTGTCCCTTCCTTTTCCCCTGGCTGCCCCCTCTCTATAGCTCTCTTTCTACAAATTTCATATTTACTTTAGAAGAATAAATTTTATGGCAGTGTAGCAGATAGATTGAAGGGGCAAATGACTGAAAATAGAGACCCAGTTAGAATAGTCTGTAATTGTGCAGATAACAGACAATGTGTGAGTGTCCATGGGTTGAAGTAAACACAGCATTTCAGAGGTATAATCTAGTGATAGTGTCTTTGAAGAATATCTTAGGAGTACATGGCAGCAGACAAGGGATGAGGAAACATTATCCAGGATGGTAATGGAGAATCCTAGGGAGCTCTGGTAGCATAGTGCCTAAGGCACTTGACTGCTAACCAGAAGGCTGGTGGTTCAAACCCACCAGCCACTCCTCGGAAAGAAGGTTGGGCAATCTACTTCTGTAGTGATACTGCCT